TGAACTGCATGCATCTCTTGTTGGGGAAAACTACTCTGTCGATGTTGTTCATCGAACCATCAACCTGTTTGCACCATCAAGGTACATTTACTTCTTCTCTGATGCCCCACATCTCATCAAGACCTCCCGAAATTGTTTGTTCAACTCTGGGACGGGGAAACATTCCAGGTTGATGTGGAATGGTTGTGATATGATTTGGAGGCATGTTTCTGCTCTGTATTATGCAGATTTAGACCAAGGTTTACACCAGCTTCCAAAGATCACACCAGACCACATCAACTTGACATCATTTTCGAAGATGAAGGTCAATCTGGCTGCTCAGGTGTTAAGTAGTACTATGGCTCTTGCACTGCGACGTTTCTACACTGATGGCTCAGCAGAAGAAACTGCAAGGTTCTGTGAAATGATAAACAGATTCTTCGACTGCCTCAATGTTCGGTCAACCTCCGAGCACACAAGAAAAAGAAATGATTTCCTAGCTCCATATTCCAGTGCCGATGATGAGCGTTTTGACTGGCTACAGAATACATTTCTGGTGTATCTGCAAGAGTGGCTGACTGCAATTCACCAAAGGACGGGGAATTTTTCAAATGACGATCGAGCAAAAATGTTCATCTCTCATCAGACCTACCATGGCTTGAGAATGACAGTCCATTCCCTAGTTGAGGTGACAAAATTCCTGCTTTCAGAAGGACTGGAATATGTGCTCTCTGAGAAATTTTGCCAAGATCTTCTCGAAGAATACTTTGGTCATCAGCGGTCTAGCCGAGGAGGATATAGTGACAATCCAACTGTTCAAAGTTTTGGCTACAACGACCTCACCATTGCTGCTCAGCGTAGTATTGCTCCTGTTGTAAGAGGGAATGTAATGGGCCGGCACAAAGGAGAATGCTCTAAATGGGTAGTAGTCTCGGAAGAACCTCTTCCGAAAAGAAAGCGTAAGTCTTCACAAAAGAACAAATAGCTTGTGTGTGGAAGAATGTATGTATTATGAAACAATATTACCTGTGTGCATACTATATGTATGTACCACAAAACTCTTCTTTTAATTTAATATTTATTCATAATTTGGTATTTAAACTCAAAAACACTGGGCTCAACAGTAAGAATATTGAAACAGCAAAGTCTTTGAACTGTCTGACAAAGTGTTCACTTCAATGGGTTGCAAGTTGTAAAAAGTAATCTTTTATCATTGGGTATGTAATACGCACTATACTATTCTAAGGCCCTGTTTACATGAGACCGGGACCAAGTCAAACCAGAATGAAAATTGAAAGTCAACATGTTTACATGAGACCGGTACAAAAATCACAAAATTTTCAATTTATTCCTCTTGCCAGGCAATTTTCTTTTCTAGATGGCTTTTGTTAGCTGGTACATGTTGTTCCAATGTCAAGGTTACAGCCGAGACCGGTCTGAAATGTATTTGTGTTTACATTCATCCCGGTCTGAATTCATGCCTGTCTGAAGTCAGTCGGCTTGGTCCAGCAGGCGGAATGACTTCAGACCAGTCTGAGTTTTTTCATCCCGGTCTCATGTAAACATCTATTATAAATAATACTATGACCGAAACTATTCAGAGGCGACATGTATGAGCAGGGCCGTAACTATTGGGGGGGGGGGGTGACACCCCCACCCATTACAGTTTTGTCTGTCAATTTTAATGACATACTTATCAGGCACAAAAAATGTAATTCAGCAAAATATTTTACATAATTTTTTGAAAAATAACAATTTTGGGCACCTGAAATGTCCATCAGGCATGAATTCCACCATGCCCTTTTTGTCGGGCAAAATAAGCTCACACCCCCCAGCTGTAATAATACCCAGGTTATAGTCCTGTGCATGAGGCCAAGTTACGGTCCTGTGCATGAGGTCAGAAACTTCAAGGATTTCAACATGACTTTAGTTGCCTTTATGTGTAAATATTTATTCTGTCCCATTGTTAAATGCACTAATAATATCAATATTATTAAAATAATTTGTTTACTATATACAATATTTACAATAAGTGTTTCAGATTTCATAAACTATTGAGCCTTCTATTAACAAAAAGTCTCTGCCTATTGTAGTGGCAAAGCTAGCCTGACAATTTAGTCATGCTATGCAAATGTTTTCAATTTCTAAAGAAATGAATGATTTAAAATTTGCATTGCATGACCAAATTCCCAGGCTGGCTTTGCCACTGGCCTACTTAATTAACAATTAATCGCTGAAGGCAACTACAAGCCTATATTCACTGAGCTGAAACAAACCGAATAAATAATTTACTTCTGTTTGATTTTCAGCCATTTTTTGAGAAAAGCAACAGTTACTGCTCAGAGTAGTAACTATTACCTCAGAGCTACTGCTGATGGAGCCAATCAGAATGCTCAAAGGCCATTTTTCAATACTGAAATTATACTAATGCCTATAATAAATACTCCACAAGCAGCACTCAGTCACATAATAGAGACTATATATACAGAAGCCCGACTTATGATTTGTCATCAAAATGCTGATGCCATGGTCCTAACCATTGGCAGTGTGCTTATAATATTCAAAATGGTGGACATGCAGAAGGGAGAATGAGCACCTCATAAGCACACTGGTTAGGACCATGGCGTAAGCATTTTGATGACGAATCATGGCGTGGGAGCAGTTACGCCTTTTTTTGCTGAGTCAACCTTCTGTTTGTCTTTATTCTGTAGTTCAGTGCCCACAGTTTTATACATCTATAAAATATCTGCATTTTTCAGTTCCTTTCTCAAAGCCTTGCTCCTCAATGCCTTCTCCTTCAGCTTGTATTTACTAACTATGTCTCTAGCATAGGAAAAGCTACGGACTTGAACGTACAATTTAATAAAGTTTTCCAGAGCAAGCTTGTTGCACTCAGAAGAAATTTGAGAATCCAAATCAGTAATGATGTTTTCCCATAAACTTGTCACAGCAGGTGTTGCAAGAACCTGGTCTACAACTTTATCGGTGGGAACAGATGCACTCTTGTTCAATTTTAGGTGCTGGCGAAACATTAGTTCTGTTGTTTTAGCAATGTTTTTTATTGTTTCATTTGGGGTCCAAAGACCGCCTCTTGATAAAGACTGAATGTATTGGTCTTCTTTGGTTTCTTCAAGTTTTAGGGACTGAAGTAGAAACTGCAGTTCCTGACTACGAGGAGAGTTCCAGTGCTTTGAGTTTTTACTTTTCCTGTAGAGGGACTGCAGGACATACCCAGTAACATAGGAGAGAGGACCAATTTCTTCTGGTTTTAAACCAATTTCATCTTCTCCCTAAAATTATTAAAGGCAGATTGTTGAAGGGAATTTGTAGAAATTCCTATAGTGTAATTGTGTAAATTTACCCATCCCAAAAGGTAGGTGCCATAGGCCCAGCAGACCTAATGTATTTAAACCATTAAGCACCAGCGCTCTCCCCTTGACAAGTAAAATCATCTGGTGTTAGACAGAGTAAAATAATAAAGTAGGGTGCAATGCAACTCAATCGGTTAATAGGAATAGTCTAGGACCTGTATATGAGTTTGTATGCATTTCATTTAGCACAGGTAATCTCAACTGTTTTAGGGTAAAATGACCATGGCGGTCAACATGGCATATGTGCCAAAAGCTGAATCCGGGACGAAAGTCCTGAAAATAACCCCGCCCTGAAACGGCAGTGTCGACATAGCTCTAACTTCAGAAAACAAAAAGCGATAGTCTTTCTGAAGTGCTTATAGTGTTTAGAAGGGTTGCTTTAGGGGTGGTCATTGGAAGAAAAATTTGTCTAAGTATAATATTTTACAAGAAAATGACTATGCACCACCCCAGGTAAATTGCTGATTATGCATAAAATAACTAATATGCCTGGCAGAAATTAAATATTCTTATTTCCTAAAAAAGATTATCATGGGGTTAAAAACTATGCTTAATTTAATGTAAATATTGTTGATTTCATAAGGATTGTCATTGTTTTCTTTAAATATAATAAATTTTATTTCACTTACCCCCCACGAAAACGCGATTTCAGCCATATTTTGCCGTCTTGTTTGCTTTTTATCGCCGAATCACGCAAATATCATCCAGTTATTGTACTTTTACATACTCATAAATGGCTGAAGAAGATTTCAAAGAAGGTTTCATCCACTTTTGAAACAGTGCAGTGTATTTTATCTTCGATAATGTGTCCTTCGATATCTCGTCAAATTGCCGCCATTTTAATGGCTCGCCGCTTCTCTGCCCGATAAATGCCACTTCTTCGTTTTCATATGTATTTAGATTACATTATCCAAGAGTACTTCATTGTAGAATAGTCCCAATCCAAAAATTGGAAGTATTATTTGTACTTGGGAGGAAAAAACCTCCCAATACAATTGTCCTGTTAGAATTCAAAAGAAATAATTTAAAAGTCACGCGCAAGTTCGCGAAAACACCTCGTGGGTTACATAACAGGGGGGGTGAATATTTTCACGAAACGTTTGTTCGCCACCACAGCAACCGAACTAAATGTATTATATTTTTTGTATTTTTATAATTGATGATAAATATCCGCAAATATTTATTGTTTTTATCAAAAATCACAAATATACAATAAATATAATGTACTTAACTTAGGTTGCTGTGGCCTGTGGTGGCGAACAAACGTTTCGTGAAAATATTCACCCCCCCTGTTATGTAACCCACGAGGTGTTTTCGCGAACTTGCGCGTGACTTTTAAATTATTTCTTTTGAATTCTAACAGGACAATTGTACTGGGAGGTTTTTTCCTCCCAAGTACAAATAATATTTCCAATTTTTCGATTGGGACTATTCTACAATGAAGTACTCTTGGATATTAATGTAATCTAAATACATATGAAAACGAAGAAGTGGCATTTATCGGGCAGAGAAGCGGCGAGCCATTAAAATGGCGGCAATTTGACGAGATATCGAAGGACACATTATCGAAGATAAAATACACTGCACTGTTTCAAAAGTGGATGAAACCTTCTTTGAAATCTTCTTCAGCCATTTATGATTATGTAAAAGTACAATAACTGGATGATATTTGCGTGATTCGGCGATAAAAAGGAAACAAGACGGCAAAATATGGCTGAAATCGCGTTTTCGTGGGGGGTAAGTTAAATAAAATGTATTATATTTAAAGAAAACAATGACAATCCTTATGAAATCAACAATATTTATATTAAATTAAGCATAATTTTTAACCCCATGATAATTTTTTTTAGGAAATAAGAATATTTAATTTCTGCCAGGCATATTAGTTATTTTATGCATAATTAGCAATTTACCTGGGGTGGTGCATGGTCATTTTCTTGTAAAATATTATACTTAGACAATTTTTTTCTTCCAATGACCACCCTAAAAGCAACACTTCTAAACACTATAAGCACTTCAGAAAGACTATCGCTTTTTGTTTTCTGAAGTTAGAGCTATGTCGACACTGCCGTTTCAGGGCGGGGTCATTTTCAGGACTTTCGTCCCGGATTCAGCTTTTGGCACATATGCCATGTTGACCGCCATGGTCATTTTACCCTAAAACAGTTGAGATTACCTGTGCTAAATGAAATGCATACAAACTCATATACAGGTCCTAGACTAAATTTGGTTATTTCCTAAATAGCCGAGCGCATTGGCGTCTGAAATTCTAGCGGGCGCAGAATTAAGCCCGCCGATTAGAACCGGGTAAATTGACTCAACGGATATTAAAGTATTTTAATCCTGCATGACCACATGATCAAACGACGAACGAGAAGCAAAGCAGCAAGATACGTAGATAGCGACAGGTGCTATACACCAGCAAGTTCATTTCAATTCAAATTTACTTCCCCTCAAACAATGGCGTGTATAAGGAAAACTACGGTTTTCTGCGTTTTATTTCTTGTTCTTTACGTCGTATTTTCCTACGTAGAAGCGAATGAGTGTTCTTCTAACTCTGACTGTTCGGGCTTACAGTATTGCTGTGACAGAAAGTATCCTGAAGACAATGTGTGTCGGTACAGTTGCATTGGTCAGTCTTGTATCTTCAATAACGACTGTGCCCCGGGTGAATCTTGTTGTGATTCTGATAAGAAATGTGCCACAACTTGTGTTGAAAAATCGTGTACCTTTGATGGCAACTGTGCGCCGGGTGAAACTTGCTGTGGTAGTTCTGATAAGAAATGTGCGACAACTTGTATTGGAAAATCGTGTAGCTACAGTGGCGACTGTGCTACTGGAGAATCTTGCGACTCAGATGGCAAATGTAATACAGGAGATTGCGATGTGATTACTGAAGGTCTAGCTGGTTGGATTGTAGCAGTGATTGTTATCAGTGTCATTATTGTTATTGTCATACCTATTGCAGTTGTCGTCTTTTGCTGTTATTGTGCGGCTGGTGCTGCAGCAGCCTCGAGACGTCCTGCTCATGGTGGTGTTGTAGTAACACAACCTACAACCACAGGAACTACAGTCTTTGCAACCCAGCAACAACAACAGCAACAACAATACCCTGCACAAGAAGGACAGCCAATGTATTTTCAAAACCCTCAAGCAAATCCCAACCAACCCCCACCAGAATATCAACCTCAAGGGACAGTGTATCCACCAGGGGCAAGTGGTGGATATATAGCGATGACACCACAAACTGAAATTAAGCCATAAGAACTGAAACTGATTTAGCGAGCACAGCAGACAGGCACTCGCTTCATAAAATAAGATTATCTAAACTTTAATACTAGATAAACGGGCATAGAATGACATGGTCAGACTACTATATTCAGATTGAACCTCCACTCATTGAGTGTGAGTGAGCTTTTAGAATACAGACGATAGAATATTTTAGAAACTAAAGTAAAGCACTGCAAGCACAGATAGATGCACTAGCTTCAATGAAATAGGTTTAACATAGACATGGTCAGGCATTAGACATCGCTTACTCGACACTTTCGATTGTAGATGTACAGTGTGCAATTGATTTCGTATTTCATTAAATATTTTAAAACATCAACTCAACTATCGAGGGTTTCGCGTCTTTTCTCGGATTGCAAATTTGCGCATCAATGCTAAGCGCTGAAATACATCCCCTTTTTCAAACGGTGAAATACATCCCCTTTTGGGGGCGGCGCTATAGGTCCATTTGAATTGGGGGGAGAGAATTTTGCCGAGTCATTAAGTATAGGTTATTTTGAGGCAACGAGGGGATATGTGATTTATTCACCGAGGCGTGCGCGCCGAGGTGAATAAACACATATCCCCGAGGTGCCTCAAAATAACGTACTTATTTTTCACACTGCGAGGTCGCGTTAATGAGTCAGAAAAGAAATAATTCTCAATGCCATATTGCCTTCGCGATGTTGTTTTTACTCATTTTTTTTGTGCTGCAAAGACATTGCAGGTGAATATTAGATCGAGGGGATTATTAATTGCAGGTGAATATTAGAGGGGATTATTATTAAACGGAAATTGATTAGAGGGGAAGATTGAATATATTCCCCGACAAGAACAAAGGAAACCGAGCAGGGTGAAAAATAAGTGAAATTTTACCGACTCATTTCAAACGCCAATTAATATTTCTTTTCCCAAAATCATCTTTTTCATGCTATTTGAGGTTAACGTACCGTTCTACCTTTAATGTTCCCTTTTTTCCTTCATATTTTCGTAAATTTCTCTAAATTTTAGGTATAATTATTATTTTTTAATTTGTTCACTGGATTCTTTTCCCTATTCACCTAGTCATGTGTAATCAAACATTTTGCCTTAAATGGGTAGTAGTATTAATGCAAATAGTCAGTTTTTTAAAGATTTTTTTAAAGCATTAGTCATCATGTCAGGTTTTAAACACAGGAAATACTTGCTTGCCCTTGATTTAAGTTTGGCAGCTTACATTCTACTAAATGCTAGAACGGGGTTGTTGATTTGGTTGATTGTTGAAAATACGGTAAAATTAATACTTTTTCTCGTAGTATTAAGGAAACATCACACTTGAGTTTGGCGAAATATTTATAAATATTCGATTAATTATATTTTGGCCTGACCCGTGAATTCCGCAAGAATTGGTCTGTATTTTTATATTCTAGGGTAACAAGGTGTTTATATAACCGCAAAATAGAAGAGAGTTTATCACTATTTCTACTAAGCTCAAAAGTTAATGTTTCATGCCAATGTATCATGCATATTTAACTTGATGTTTATGAATTGTTTACTTTTTCACCACATTTTTTTCGACCACCCGATTCCCCTGATAGAATTTATCCCAAAAGTTGGAAAGTTTATAACCACTTCTGGACAGTTCCCCGAATTTTAGGGACAGTTGCATGGTTGTATTAAAACTCTAAAATGTGCGATTTTGAATGATTAACTTTCGAACTAACCTCACCGCCGGGCTCACGTTTTTCATTACCACCCGACCCCCAGCGACGATGGGTAGTTGATTCCGATTGGTCATGACTGAACTGGATGGATTCTGATTGGCTGGGCTTAAATATCAAAATCGAAATGCTATTTTCTTGAAACTGATGTTCATTGTAAATTGTACTTCTCTATGTGCTTCAAACTACTACATTTTTTATGCAAAACTGTTTCCAATGTATTGCAGACAGTGGCGGCGCCAGGCTTCCAAATTTGGGGGGGCATTTGAGGGGCAAACTCAAATTTTTGGGGGGCAAGATAGAATTTTTAAAAAGGTCGCCCCCCCCCCCGGGAAATTCGCCTCCCCCCTCAAAACGTGGCGATATTCCTAGGAATATTGCCCCGGGGGGGCGAATATCCTAGGGATATCGCCTCCCAGGGGGTGGGACGAATACCCTAGGAATATCGCCCCTCTTTAGGACATTCGCCCCCCATATATGCGATGTGGTTTATTCAAATAATTTCGCGATACTTTCATCTTATTATTGCCTTACACGTTTGAGAATTTAACTCTGCAAAACTAAAGCTTTTTTGTCTTTTTTTGAAACGTATTATTGGAGTATTG